TGTAGTTATCCTACAGAGAAAAGAAAATGCACTTGACTTGGAATGAATGTACTGTGTGCATTCAAAAGTGCTGAATAAATGTTTTATGGACCCATAATAGTGATTATTAAGTTAAGTTTTGCCATAATCATGTATTTTTCCATAATCAGGTAGCTGAACAACATTGGTAAAAAATGTATACATTATATATATATATATTTCTATTAATCATTTTCGGACTTTCGGCATTCGGTTTTCGGCCAACTGTTTCCTATTTTCGGTATCGGTTTCGGCCAAGAATTTCCCATTCGGTGCACCCCTAATTTCAATTAGTAAGTGATAACAGAACTTTTAAGCACTGATTTCACTAAAACAAAATTGTCATTATGGGTCAAAAATGGAATGCTTCTAGCTCTTCATTGCATTGCAAGTTTTAGTTTTTTTATAACCATCTATCTTCTCATCCCAGATAACCTCACTTAACCATAAGTACTTCAAGAACCATCTGGAGGACAGCTTGTCGCTTGGTCGCCCCCTTTTGATCGAGGATGTAGGGGAGGAGTTGGACCCTGCACTCGACAACATCCTTGAAAAAAACTTCTTTAAAACAGGCTCCACTTACAAGGTAACGGAAAATAAATAAAACCCTTGTGTACCATATTATATGTTTTTACCTTGGTTAGAAAAGTGTAAAATGGGCAGGTGTGTTATCAGGTGAAAGGCATGGTTGGACTTTGCAGTTACAAAATTGCACTACTTTAGTACTTTTTAAAACATAGATGACATCAAACCCATTTACTAGGATCAAAAGGATATATTTGTATCACATTTAGATTGTAAGATATTCAAATTGTTAAAGGCCTGTAAATGAATGACCTCAATAATTATACCTGCTGTAAAAAAACATGTTGATGGGATCAGTTTAATTAATTGAAAATTGAACATGGTGCAGGTGATTTTGTGATGAGTTAGGTAGTTTTTGGTGTTACAGTATGTGATTGAACTATGCATGAAGTGTGTGTTTTTTTGTGAGTTTTAGCAGCTGTTTTGTACTCTTTTAGCAAGTTCAAGTGGAAAGGCAACCCAGGAAAAGGAAATTAGGCCTTAAATATCCACTTTAGTGAGGTCACTTAATTAGCACTATTTAGTATTCATTTTAGTATTCATTTTAGTAACCAAAACTACAGTCCAGAAGCAGGCTTTGGATACAAATGATTGGCATTACAGTAAATACAGTGTTTTAAATTAACTTTAAGGGAGTGTTCTAAATAGGTCTTTCCGCTAATAAACTGGTTTGAACGTTTGTATTGCACACATGAATGTCTTTCGTGTTGCTTATAATGTAAACATTAATTTCCACAAAACTTGACAGGTCAGTTGAAAAGCATTTTGCATGTCGTCCAGATAACAGTGAACTAAGTTAATGCCATATACATCACAACAGGAATGAGTTGTGTCATTAATCGATGCAATACTACTCTCATGTTAAGACAAAGAAAATTAAATCACACAGTATAGGATGTTGTGCTTCCAGGCATTTCTCCTTCTCATTATCACCTCACAACTCCTGGCTACAGCTGATGCTAGTTATTCAGCTGCTAACACTGCAGCTGCCTCCCTTCTATCTCCCATGCATCAAACTAACACACATACAAGCAATCACACAAAAAAAAAAAAATAACTGCAACAAAATGATGCACACACCTTATGGCGATTGCAAGTAAGCATGTGTCAGATGCACACACCATCTTCAACAAGAAGGCAATCTATTGAAAGGGCCGATTAGAGGTGTCTACACTCTCCCTCCCACCATCTCCTGAAAAGCTTACATTTCTATTAATATCCTGGTGTGAGAAGGAAGTGAAGGAGTCTGTGGATGTGGCTCCAGGGACAAACTGCCAGATGGATAATTAGTAGTTATTCTGCCATGAGTAATTTATTACTGATCAAACTCAAGACTCACACATCCATGCACACGTACACACTTACACAAATATACAGTTCATGCATACAGGAAATTATTCTGAGCAGCTGAATCTGCCAGTGTTTGTTGCTGACGCCAGGATATACCTTCATCATGTTTGTCAGTATGGCCTATTCATACATGTTCAAAGACATCTGCTATCTATCTGACATCTATTACTGTCTGTCATGACAAATATGTGAATACATGTTTTATTCTGCTATGATGGTAAATCTGAAAATCATGCAGGTAGTACTTTGTAAGGCTGACTTTTGTTCTTCGTCTTTTCTTCTCTCTTTCTTTTTTTTGAAGGTGAAAGTGGGTGACAAAGAGGTGGATGTGATGAAGGGCTTTAGGCTTTACGTGACCACCAAGCTGCCTAACCCTGCCTATACGCCCGAGATAAGTGCCCGCACCTCCATCATTGACTTTACCGTCACAATGAGAGGACTTGAGGATCAGCTGCTGGGCAGAGTTATCCTCACAGAAAAGCAGGTAGAGTGCCTTGAAAAGTAGTAGCTATTATTTGATTTGTATTTAATGTAGAATTTGGTGTATGGCTACACTTATTATTGAATACATAAACTATAATTGCAAATTATTCTGTTTTAATGTCATGTTAAACAGAAAGGATGATCCACTGGTACGACGCAAATTGCTTACAACCCTATAATTCCCGAAAAGCCTTGGAGACCATGTATAATGCAGGATCCCAACACCTCCCCCTAACGTGTACACCAAATTCTGTGTGACAATTTCACTTGGAGGTTTTAATCAACCTTTGTCTCAGGGCCCTAATGATTGCTGTGTTCTATATTAAGACGGTGTGAAAAAGCAACAACACAAGAAAAAGGGTACATATGCCTCAATACCACCTCACAAAGACACACATCCAAGTGTCAGGGACTTGATTTGTTCATTCTGGTCAATACAAATGCATTAATCAAAGCACCCAATGCAGAAGGTCCATTGATTTAGACTGAAGGATACTGCTGAAGGCCAATGTCCTGCTAGCAATGGCTAATCATGAGATGAAGGATTTATGCTGTATGGGAAAAGAGGCTCATTATCTGTGTACTAAATATGGATTTATTCACAATGAGTGCTGAAGCTTCCATCTCAGCTTCTATCTCTATCTTCATGCAGCATTTACAAGTCCAACATCATTTGCCAGTTATTTGCTGTTCACTTTATGTCTTCATCTTAATTTGCAGTAATATAAATGAAAGCATTTATTCAGAGGGTCCCCTCAAGAAAACATTCATAGGCTTTAAGCAAACAAACACAAATATAACAGGCAATATGAAAAAAAAAAGGGTCACTTTTCAGTCTTTTCATCGTCATGTCATAGATTGTTGTCTTGACCATAACAATCTTAACTTTGAACTCTACTGGAGGGTTCAAATCAAACACATACATTCAGAGAAGCTCACATTTCCCATGGCTTTACAGTAGGGATGGGAACGATTTAATCGAATATTCGAAATTATTCAGGTATTCAAATAATTATTCATGTATCGAATATGAGTTATGAATATTTTTATGAATATATATATATATTTTTTTTTTGGGAGGGATGCCTAAGTTGATTACATATTATCAAATTGAATAATTCAATGTATATATATACGACAGTGCCATAGCTAAATGTGTTAGTTGACGTCTAAAGGTGTGTTTTGCTCCGCTCACCGGTCCCCCACAGCAGGCAGAGCTGCAGGTGCTGGCCTCTCTTTCTCACGTCCGGTTATACTTCACTCGTGTTTAGGTCCAAATCCATCAGATCTAGCTAGTTCTAGCTAATGATATGGCTGCTGCCCCTCCCTACACGCAGATCACGCAGACTCAAACCTCATCTTAGGCCCAAATGTGGCGCAAATGCGCTCCGCAACCGTTACGAGGTTCCGGCGCTAACAGTTCATGAGCGTGCTCCCCCGCCCCCTGTCAACACTCGCGACACATGAGTGGCCAGCCTAAACAACAATAAGCGCTGCTTGGCAACCGTGTGTCGCGGCAAAGTACATAGACATTTTGACAGGAGAGATTTAATTTTGCCGTTATTCAACATATTTTACCACTCATAGTCCGGTAATTATTTACACTCTAAGAGAGTCCTACACAACAGACATGGCGTCAAAAAGGAGTAATGTGTGGAAATATTTCGACCAGGTTGGTGAGTGCGGTGTAGAGGTCAAACTATGCCAAATTAAACTTATATATACATGCTATACCTTGCTATACCCGCAACCTCCGTTGCAGCTGAGAGGGTCTTCTCTACAGCTGGGCTGATTGTGAATCG